CGAGAAGCTCCAGGTCCAGTACAACCGCTTGAGACAGGCGAAGATCACCACCGAGCTCACTGAGATCGTCGCCGGTGCCGAGTCGGTGTGAGCCCGCCGCGCGTTGCTGCCAGAGTGGGGCGCACGCAGCCGTCGAGGCAACCCCAACGCGCCCGCCCGCGCGCGGCTGCCGGCATCTTTTCGCGGGGAGCGTCGTGTGAGAGTGTTGTGGTGTGCGTGCCCGCTGTCTCGCCACCCACCCGCCTCGTCCCTCGTGTCGAAACCTGCCCCATGCGCGTCAAGGCTAGAGTCAAAGGCGCGACCGGCAATGTTTTTCTCTTCTACCCCCCCGGCCCCACACGCACCCCCGAGTCGCGAGTGCCCGGAGACCCCCGCGAGCGGAGAGGTGCTGGTTCGTGCTGCGCCGGCTGATTCGCATTCCGGGGAGTGCGAGTGGCAGGGGGGTTGACGCGAGAGAGAGATTTTCTTCTTGACGCGCGCTTGGAGGTCCACGGAGGTCCGGGCTCGGACTGAATACGGCGCGGTATGTGGGTGCACGCGGCTCTCAGTACTCAGTCATGAGTCAACTCACAACTCTCTGTCAGTCTCGACGTGTCTCGCACGGGTGGCACAGGCTGCCACAGCCGACGCAGCTTTCGATACATGTCTGGCGAGTGGTGGTGCGTGGGCCCGTGGGGTAGTGTGGACGCTCGGCATGCGCGTCGCATGACACGGGGTTCGAGTTTCTTTTCTAAAGTGAAGTTGCGCAATTTCTTTTTTTCAGAGCGGTTGGACGAGCCGGAGTGGTTTTAGTGTGCCACGATGGACACCTGCCTCGAGAGGCTGAAGAACGAGCGCAAGGTATCTCGCCGGTCACCTCGTTCCGCTCTGCCTTGCACTCACCTCGTAAGCGCTCGTTCCGCTCTGCCTAGCACTCACCTTGTTCGCGTCGGCCGCCAAAGGCTCGCTGCCACCCTGTAGGAATGGCGCAAGAATCGTCCGGTGGGGTTTGTCGCAAAGCCCAGCGAGAACGCGGACGGCACCAACAACATGCTTGTTTGGAGGCTCAAAATCCCCGCCAAGGCCTCCTCGATCTGGGCGCCCGGCCTCTTCTCGGCGACGATGACCTTCACATCTGAGTACCCGGCCCGGCCTCCGCGAGTCACCTTTGACCGGATCGGCGGCGAGCTCCTCTTCCACCCGAACGTCTACGACGACGGCGGTGCGCCCTGCTGCGTCGGCGCGACTGCAGCGCGTCGCCTGCAGAGGAGATTCCGCCGCCTCCCCACGCAGGCGTCTGCCTGAGCATCATCAACCCGCCCGAGTCGACGCACGGTTACGGGCGCGGCGGCACCTGGCTCCCCACCATCAGCATCCGGGAGGTGTGCCTCGCCCTGCAGACCTTCTTGGACGAGCCTAACCTCGGCTCCCCAGCCAGCCGGGCGGGAGGCAACCGCCCGTACGAGGCGTGCCGGAGGAGCCGCGAGGAGTACGCGCGGCTGGTCAAGCAGCAGGTGGGGCGCGCCGAGGTGGCGAGTGGGTGAGCCGCAGAGCTTGTACGGAATTTCTCCAGATGGGGCCCGCAGTGCGCGGTGAGACCGGAGCGCGCCCGGTCCCGGCAGAGGTCCCGCGTCTGTATTGGTTCTCGCAGCTCTCGCTTCCTGGGGCCCATGGCGGCGGCGGCCGCGGCCTCTTCCCAGTGCGGGACGAGGAGATGATGAGCGACGTCCGGGAGAACTTGTACTGTCACCAACTGTCCTTGGTCCCCGTGGGGCAGGGCCGAGAGCGAGGGCGCCTGTGGAGGGCGCGCGGACTAGAAAGTCTAGACGCGCACCGCGAGGGGAGAGCGACAGGGCGCGCGCGGCCTGCGAGACGCGACCATGGTTACCCGGGCGCATCTCGAATCTCGTGTTTTTCTCTCTCTTCCGCCTGGTTTTTATTTTATTTGTTAATTTTATTTGCACCACGGCGCGCGCGCGCTAGCCGCAATCGATGCAAAAATGATCATATGATATATGAATTTGCACAAGGAGCTCGTCCTGCCTCGTACCATCACGGAAAGGCGGATGCTCCCCACGGACAGAAGATAGACAGAGGAACGCACATCGTCAGGCGGCGTGTGAGGGGGGGGGGGGGGGGAAAAATCTGTGTGCGTGCGAAACCAACAAAAAGGCGCGTTGCGGGCCGCTCCACGCTCAGAGCCTGTGTCTGGGCCTCGCCGCGCCGGCCGCGCCTCGCCCTCCCCTCCACGAGCGCTGCAAGACATCCTCCCAGCCCCTCTCGGAAAGGTGGCGCGCCAGAGGGCCCGTGCTCACGGCTCTAGACCCTGCGGCCGCGCGCGCCCGATAGCTTGGGCTTGGTCAGCTGGTTGGTGCGGATGCCCAGCTCCGAGGTGAGCCGCTGGAACTCGGACAGGTCCTCGCGGAGCAGGTACTCGAGCAGCTTGCGCCGCCTGACCACCATGGCCGTCAGGCCGCGCAGCGACGCATAGTCCTTCTTGTTCTTCTGCATGTGCGACGTCATGTACTGGATGCGCGCGGTCAGCACCGCGATCTGCACCTGGGCGGAGCCCGTGTCCGAGGCGTGCAGCCGGTACTTTTGGCGCATCGCCTCGACGCTCTGCTCGTTGGTAAAGGCGAGCCGCGGCTCGAGCGTCTCGTCCGGGTTGTCCGCCTTGACAAAGACGGGCTGCGTCTCCATCGCCGACAGCGGCGCCTCGTCCGCAGCCAGCGCGTCCAGCAGCTCCTCGGTGAAGTCATCCACCGGCGCAGCAGCCTCCCCCGCCTCGGCGACCTCATCCATGCGCACGCCCCAGCAGGCGGCGGGCGCAGCAGAGATGGCGCGGCGGGTTGGGCACGCGGGAGAGACGAGCCACCCCGAGGCCGCCGAGAGGCAGGATACAAGCAGCAGCTGCAGCAGAGGGCGCGACATCGCAGATGGAGCGATTACGATAAGTCTGCGAGGGGGCGGCGGCGCAGAGCGTCAGAGGAGGGCGCTGCGGGCCGGGCGCGGGCCGACGAGCGGCCCGAGTGCAGCAGCAGGGTGGGAGGCGGCGGCAGGGAGGGAAGGGGCGGCACGCGGCGCGCGGCCGCCGCGCGCAGCGAGGGATGTGGGCGGTCGATGTGTGGGCGGGCTGCCTCTGTGGCGAGGAGCGAGCAGCTCGCGGTCGAGCTTTTCTCAGCGGCGACTGTGAACACCTCAACCTCTCATAGACCAGCGCGCAGCGCCATAGGAGGTATTTTCTTCTCAATACCAAGGTCTGTGAAGGTTGGTACATGGTACTGTGAGCGAGGCGAGGCTCGCAAGCGAGACCGAGAGGTCGAGAGCGGCGCTTTTCTCGTTTGAGGATACATCATGCATCGTTGTTGGTGTGTCCATACTCTGGGGGGAGGCGAGGGCCCTAGGGGGTACACATGCGGGGGGGATATGGGGTCCCCCAGCCCGCCGCAGGCGCCGATTTTTTGGCATTTTTTTCTTTTTTCGCGCGATTTTTTACTTGTTTTCATGGGAATTCGGCGTACTTGCGGCCATGCTATCACGCCTTGCGACATCCTTTCGGCGCTGCTGACCGTGCCATGCTGCTCAACTGACCGCCTGCATAGCTCGCGGCCTTAGTCTTCGGCATTCAGTGACGACCTGATCGTACGGCCAGTAGGAAGGTGTCCTTCCAGCGCGTGCATGCTTCTGACGCAATGCGCGTCACAAACTGCCTCGGATTGGCTGCTGGCACTCTCGAGGCTATGCCTACACAGCCTCGCGCGCATGGGCAGTCAATAGGGACCACGGACCTTCTCAGGACAGCGCCGGTGCCTCTCTCTTGGACCGGCAAACGTGGTGGTCTCGTGTCACCGATGTGGGACCAGTGCGGCATCGCGCCATCGACAGCTCTGAACTGCGCCTCACCACTGACCGGGAAGGCCGCCAAGTGGGTCAGCACCGGTCGCACATTGTGGCAGCAGTCAGCAGCGCATGTCTGATAGCTAGAGCAGCAGCGTCAGGGTCGCAGGGTCGGATCGTGTCAAGCCTCTCGCCCGGCCGGCCGCGTGCAGACGTCGGCCTGTCTGCTGTCTGGAGTGATCTGTCGGCGGTCATTACGACCGATCAGGTTGGAGTTTTCTGATGGTTGGAGGGTCTATCTGTATGTACTCCTCGAGATCTCTCCAAATCTGCCCTCTACTCAACCGTACTCATTCGGGAAGTCGGTGCTAACGGAGACTAACGGAGCCGGAGCCCCGTTTCCGCACTGCTGCGCGGCGCACGGTGCCTCCGGGGGCCCCCGCCTCCCCCCAGAGTGTCCATATCCACGAGAGAGTTGTTCATACCCACAGCCATGGCCCATGGCCCATGCACCATGGTACGCCTCGATGATGCAAGGCTCGCCGTCGGGGGCAGCTTCCGGCAGCCCGCACACCTCTCGGAAGGAGCCGGCCAGTCGCTCAGTGCCGCGGCGCGAGTTGGTGTAGACCATCGTGCTCTTTCCCCCCCTGTGCGCCGCCTCGACGGCGAAGGTGACCGAGCGGAGCTTTTGCGGGCCGTCCTCACACACGATACAGGTGTAGGCCGTCTGCTCGCGCCGTGTTGTGCCACGCACCACGACCGGGTCCGTCTCGATGCCGAGCGTGATACAGAGGGACTGCACTGTGACGGGAGAGGCGGTGGCGGTGAGCAGCATGTACGTGAGCTCCGGGAAGACCGCCGTCAGCGCCCCTAGCAGCCGATAGTCGTGCCGAAACTCAAGGCCGTGCTCGTCCACACAGTGCGCCTCGTCGATGGCGACGCAGCGCCACCAGCCCTCCTCGTACGCGATGCGGAGCAGAGCGTGCAGGGCTCGACTGCGCACCAGCTTCTCTGGCGACACAAAGAGGACCGTGCTCATAGCGTCTCCGCCCGGCAGCGTCTCCTGCAGCCGCTCGAGGAGGTGATCCTCAGGCGAGCCACGGGGAAGGCTCGCCTGGCCGCTCAGCGAGCGGATCAGCTCCTCGCGGGAAGGCTCGGGGCCGTCCTCCGCGCCGGCAAAGAGGCTCTGCGACGCGCCGTCGAGGACGTGCGCGAGCTTCCGGGGCAAACCATCGCTGGCCAGGTAGGGTATGCGCGAGTTGAGCTCGTCCGCCTGCTCCCACGCGAGAGCCACCAGCGGCATCACGACGAGGGTAAGCTTGGGCGGCGCAGGCTTTGGCGTGGGCGGCCGCATGAGCGCGGCAAGCTGATAGCACACGCTTTTCCCATCGCCTGCCTTCCGGAGCACGAAAGTATGTCGCCCGTCAAAGAGCGCGCATGCCGCGTCGAGCTGAAACGGGCGCGGTTCCTTGTCGCCCAGGAGGAGAGGCGCGACGCGCAGCGCAATCTCACGGCTCTCTCTGCGCGCATCATAGCGGCATGCCGCTACGGCCTGCGCCAGCTGCTGCTCGAGGTTCTGAATACGCACCTCGCGCGCCACCTGCTCTCGCGCAAGGTGGCGAAGCTCCTCGGCACATTGGCGGTGCCTCGCCACCTCGCCCGCCAGCTTCGTCTGCAGGAGCAGAAGCGCCCAGGTCCGGGCAGACGCCTGCCGGAGCAGCAGCGGTGAGGGTGAGCGCTGCGCTGCGAGAGCGGCCCCTGGGTCGGCGGAGCCGCCCGTTGTCGGTGGTGTGCAGAGTACTAGCGATCATGTGAGTGCAGAGATGGTGGCTGGATGGAGTCGCTCTCGGCCCAGAGCAGCAGCGCCTCGGGCAGTGTAGCCACCTGCGGCGTGCGTGCGCCGCCGCACGACGATGGGGTGCGGTGGTTGCTCTGCCCGGCGCTGCATGGCGCCGAGCCGCCTCTCCGCTGGCGTGCAGGTCGGGATGGGTCTGGTGGTGGGTTGTGAGCGGGCGAGGCGCGCCTCATCAGCCGCTGTCTCGTCGGCCATGCCTGCCAAGCTGCTCTCGACAGCGCGCAGAGGTCTCAGGGCTGCGCGCGGTCCGCACAGAGGTCTCAGACGGCCTCCGACCGGCCTGCGCAAGGGAGGGTGAGGTGGTTGATCAGAAAAGTGCGGCGGCGACGGTGCCGCAAGCATTCGGGAGGCGTGTGGGCCGCGGGACACAAGGCACCGACGAGGGGCTACTTTAGGTCAGATCCGCTGGGAGTGCCCAGGGACGACGGCAAGAAACCCAAGGGTGAAACCAAAAAGAGGGCTACACACGGCCCTCTACGCTGGGGCGCCGGCGCCCTACTAGGCGCCCCCCGCTCCCTTCCCCTTAGAGCCCCCCATCCCGCTAGCCCCCCGCCGCGGTCCCTCGCGGTCGCGCGACGCCGCACCAAGCCCGCACAGCTAATTACAGAGTACAGCTGACAAGCGTACCGGGTGGCTATTTTAAAGGCCTATTTTGAGCTCACGGCGAGAGGCCGCAAAGGGTCGACCCTTTTGCTTGTGGCGCGCTCGCCTCCACCACGCTCCGCTGCTGCCCTCTTGACGGCTCTCTGCCCGCCAGCTCGACCAACTCGACCGCCGAGAGGCTGGGCTTGGCCGGCGGCGCGGCGCGTGTGTGCTGCGGCCATCTCGGACGTCGCAAGCGGCGCCAGCCAGCGGCTCGGCCGCGCATCCTTCACACACGCCGCCACGACCGAGATGAGCGGGCCCGCCCGGTGACGAGTCATGGTGTGAGCTGCATGTGCGCGGCGGCTGTGGCCACAGCAGGTCCACCAGACGGACCTCAAAGCTTGCCGTCGGCGTGCTGTCGTGGCGAGAGCCGAGACCGCTGCAGAGGAGCCGAGTGAAGTGGCGAGCCAGAGGCTACCAGGGCCACTAGGTAGTCCTTATCCATTCTGATCAGGGCTGTGCTTTGGTGGGGTTGTGTTTGAGCATGTGTGAAGTGGGAGTGCGTGCCGGCGGTGTCTGTGGGTGAAATGGGCGTGTGTGTGAGGCTGCAGAGCCGTGGTATGAGCCAGAGTGAGCTTCATCCTCCAAGATAAGTGCGGTTTGGGACAGCTCAGACTTGGTACTGATGGGCCTGGGCCAGGAGAGCGACAGAGAGGGCGAGGTGGTGAGCTGAGAGCAGGAAATAGCGCGTCATGGCACTTGTATGTCTACCCTGCTCGGCAATACAAGCCGCTACAACACCAGGATTTGCTGATTACCTGATTCCGTGCGTGTACCCGGCGAGGTCCGCCAGCCACGCGGGCTCGGGCAGCCGGAAGGTCGAGTAGTCCACCGAGTAGACGCCTCGCGCGGCCGCCGCGCTCTCGCGCGTGTAGTAGCGCCGCACGCGCCCGGCGGCGCCTGTGTCGTGCCCATCTCGCATCTGCAGGAAGCGGTGCGCGGTGCTCTCGGCGACTCCGACCGAGGCGAGGACGGAGAGCATGTCGGCGGCGAAGGTGGCGGCCGAGAGCCGCACGACGTGGTGGAAGCGCGGGAGCGTGCCGTGCGAGAAGAGCAGGTCGTCGGACGACGCGGCGGCGTCGGCCCGCGGCGCCACCAGGCCGCAAAAGTAGGCCTGCGGCAGGAAGTGCTGGTTAAGGTCGGAGCGCTCGTGGGGCGGCAGCGCCGCGAGGTGGTCGACGAGTTGGTCGAAGCTCGGCCGCCAGCGCGGGAGCGGGAAGCCCTCGCAGTGCTGCTCGCGGTGGCCGCTGCGCGCGGGTCCGTCGTCGGCCCGCGGCTCGCACAAGTCGAGGTAGGCGCTGAGCAGCCGCTCGAGCGGGTCGCGGACGACAACCACCTTTACAAAATCGGCGCAGGCGAGCACCGCCAGCCGCGCCGCGTGCGCGAGGCCCGATAGCGAGGGGAGGAGGTTCTTGTCGCTCGCTTGCACAAGGTGGGCGAAGGTCGCGTTCGCCTCGCCCGTCGCCGCGTGGAAGAGCAGCCGGATCAGCCGCGTCTCGCCCGCCTTCTCGATCGGGCAGTAGGCGAGCCGCAGCCGCGGCACGACCAGCAGGCGCGTCAGCAGCGAGTGAGCGCCGCCCAGCTGCTTGGGCCGCCGCCGGCTCGCGTGCGTGTTGGGCTGCCCGGGGGCGCGGTGCGCTGCCTGCTGAGCGCGCCACGCGGCGGCGCCCTCGGAGCGCGCCGCGAGCCGCAGGGCGTGGCGGGCGCCGCCGCTGTCGTTGAACGCAGGGTTGCACGTGCGGCGCAGCGACGACTCGCTCGGCGAGGAGGCTGCCTCGGCCCTCGCCCCGGCCGCGCAGCTGCCCACGTACTCGTGGCTACACGGCGCGTCGACGTGCTCCGCCGGCCAGCCCGCGCGAGAGAGCGGCCGTGCCAGGGGCTCGAGGGGTCGCAGGCGCGAGGAGCGGAGCAGCGCCCGCACGGAAACGGACAGGAACGAGTTGGCGTGATCGCTGTACAGGTGGTCGAGGTCGCAGGCGTGCGCCCACGAGCAGGTGCGCTGCTCGAGAGACCACGACAGGTAGCGGCAGCGTGGGCACGCGAGGCACAGCTTGAGGCAGGCGTTGGCGGCATCCTCGTCGCCACTGCTCTCCGTTCCTTCGGGCAGCTGCCACCACCCACGCACCCCTCTGGCGCAGTCGCCGGCGACGCCCGAAGAGACGGCGTCGCAGTATCCCGGCGACGCATCCCTCCACCAACGCTCGGGCCAGCTGTCCGGCGGCGCGATGGGCGCAAGCTGCTGCTCGAGCCTGGCGTCGTGCACGCGAACCCCGTGGTTGCACGCATGCGGACAACTCGCCCTCCAAAGCGGCAGCGAACACTGCCGCGCAGCGACAGCGTGCCGACAAGCCGCGACGTTGAGAACGCTGCATCTGCACTTGTAGGACACTTCGCCCGGAGGATAGCCACAGAAGAACGACGGCGCCTCGCTGCCACACCGAAACTCGCCGCGGCAACCTCTCGTCCAAATGCTGTATCCGTCCACGCCGCAGCCAAAGGTTTTCCCAGGCAGGCACCGGCCCTTGCTGTGCTGAGCCACCAGCGCGACGCGGCAGTCGACGGAGCTCTCTCTCGCATGCATGGGTCTCGCCGTGTCGGGTCCTTCCGGGATGGGAACTCCCGGGTTCCGGCTCCTACCCAGATAGGGGGTCTGTCGGCACTGAGTCGCGCCAAAACGCCCTACCTACCTACCTATTGCGGGCGCCGACCGCCAGGCTCCGTGCCCCACCTACCTACCTAGGCAGCGCAGCGAAGCAAAAAAATATCCGTTGGCCCTCTGTGAATAGGCTCCCAGCGCCCGCCGCGCCGGCTTGTACCGCGGTGCGGCACCCGTCTCGGCTGGCGTCCCGGCCGCAGGCGACTCGTCTGGCATGGCCCCGTTTCGCGGCTAAACGCGCCGTCTCCCGCGCGAGCGAAGCGGTTTTTTTACCCCCACCGCCACCCCCCCAACCGCAACCCCCCACACACACCACCGCCACCTACCTACCTATTGCGGGGCCCTCTGGGGCGGTCAAAACCGGACCTACCTACCTATTGCATAGGGTCCAACGGGTGCCGACAGACCCCCTATCTGGGTAGGAGCCGGAACCCTGTGCTGCATGAATGGTTCGGCAGGTGTGAACAACACCTCCTGACCACGGCGCCGCAGGCGCCTGTTGATGGGTCCAGGTGATATCCCTGAATGGGCAATGCATACGCCTAGTTGGGCCTCAGATCGCCCGACCGCGTCCCGGTGCTCTGTGGTCGGATTTGTTTGTGACGCCTGACGCCGCCGCACCACGCCGCGGCCGGGGGCGGCCCTCCGGAGGCCGAGGATGGCTGTGGCGGACCGGGACGAGCTCTGGGAGGTTCAGTGTCAGTGTATACATTGTAGAGACTGATCATGTGCACAATATATCTCAGTCTAGCTAAGCCAGGGGAGGCGATGCCGGGGCCGTACAGCAGCTTGATGGTGCTTCGCCGGCGTGCGTCCCGGAGCGGTGCCGGACGGGCGGTCCGTGGGAGGAAAACTCAGGACAACACCGACACTGCTGTGATTCGACTTTTTACTTCAAACAAAGACAGTGGCACGCGCCGCAGCGCGGTGCATGCCACTGTCAGGAGCGGATCCGTCAGTTAGTTGTGTTCACGCCGGGATCGTGTCCTGAGTAACCTGCCCAACCATTTCTGAGTACCCGGGTAGCAGTCAGGCGGCCTCCCCAGTCACATGGCATCTCCCAAAATCGATTGGCATTGGCGTTACTCCACTGCAACTGCACAGTCGCCGCAACGCTATGGCAGGCACACGCAAACACCTTCCCGCGCGGTCCCCCGGCAAAGGTGGAGCACCCGCACGGTACACAGCTGCGCATGCTCCGACGCTGCTGCGGACGGAGCGACTGTACCACGCCAGGGCGATGCCTGGCTTCCACACGTCCAAAACTTGGAGCAGCTTGGGCCATTATCCAGGCGACGGCCGAAAGCGGGAGTGGGCCTCATTCCAAAGAGAAGCTCATGACCAATCACGCTTGTGCGTCACGCGGAGCTGGAGAGACCCGTTCGTGCATCAGAGTGCTTGGACAACCAGTAACAGGCCTGTACGGTCTAACAGGCGCTCTCTGCTGTGTGGGATGTGTTCCGATTTGCGATATGTCGCACACTAGAGCAGTGTGCGCCTCTCGCTGTGCGAAGGGGAGAGGGAGCGGACAGCGGTGCGGAAACGCTCTCTCGCGCTGCGTGCGTGGTTTCTCAACGACCTACCTGTTTTCTCCAATGCAAGTTACTCACTGCTGATCAGCACCATATGAGTCCACCACTGACCACACAAACACCGTCTGGAGTTCTGGTGTGTCGGGCAGCAGCACACACTCGAGGCCATTGTCGCCTCTCTATCCCACTAGAATCTAGATGTCCTCCAATGAGTGAATCCTCCGACGAGGATGCTTGGGAGGATCCGCCTTCGGGCTCGGCGCCGCCGCCCTCCTCCTCATACAGCAGCGCCGTCTCGAGCTCGGCGCCCTGGAACACTTGTCTTCATCCATCTCGCCGAGTATGACGCTCACCGGCGCACACCGGCGTGCGAGCAAATTGAGCCGGGTCCTCTGCGAGGGCGCGCCCACGCACGCAAGAGGGTCCGCCACCACAGCGAGCCCACCGTCCGGTCCTTCCGGCTGCCCGGTGGGCTGCTCGGCCGGTGAGCCAGGCACCCAAAAGAAATTCACGAGGGGAGAAGAATTTTACAACAACACTCCCTCCTCCTCTGTGTTCGTGTGCGTCGCCCATCTCTCCCTGGAGATGACTGCTCTATTTATTTATTTATTAACAACAGTCCCTCGCACGACACTGGGCACGGGACAGGCGCGCAGGTAGGTAGGTAGAAAGGTGAAGAACAGCCAGGCTCGGACTGGACACCAGCGCGGTATGGGTGGACGCGAGACAGATGATGACGACACGCACGAACGACACACAGACACAAACAAGCTCACAAGACACACAGCCAGCTGGCTGCCACACACCCTGAGTTGGCGTACACATACATAACTCAGGGCCACATTCTCCCTGTCGCCCCCCCCAGCACTCCCAGGTGCCAAGAGAAACAAACAAGGGCACAACAAACAACAGACAACAGGGGCGAACGCGTGAGGCTAGAGCAGGCTTGCTCGGCCTCTAGCAATCTCCGCCGACCGCGAGGCCGGACTAGGCGCGCACTGGACACTAAAAAAACAAAAGAATTTAAACAAGACAACTCTCTCTCACAGCACACAGGCTCGAAACAAAAGAAAAACGACCCTGCTTGTGGCCGGCGCTGCCGCGAGTCCACCGCGCACCGCGCCGTCTGAACCACAGCGTGTCCCGACTCGACTGCCGGCGTCCCAGTCCGGGGGTGTTTCTCTTCTTATCCGTTACCATGTAGAGCAACGCCGAGGGCGGGCCCTTTTCGGGCTTGGGCCGCCCTCTCGCCCGCACCTCTGCGGGGCTCGCACGTGGTAGCGGCGGTCTGCTCACGACAGTGAGTGGGCTCTTCACGCTATCCACTGCGCCGCGGCTACGCCGCGCCCTATCCAAGCCCAGGGCTTGGTTCGCCGATAACCGCATCTCGCTCTGCGCATCTCTGAGGCTACCCGCGCGCCGACTGCTACGCGCGCGGCGAGAGGCGCACCCCATCAGGGACAGGATTGAGGCCCCTGTACGAGCTCGGCAACGCCGCCGTCGTTGCCCTCCCGAGCCCTCAACACGGTGCTGCACAAAGCGCAACCCGTCCTGCGCACATACCGCAGGGAGGAGTTTTCACTCAACCATCCGAGTTTCTCCTTCCTGCAGGGCGAGAGACATCGGCCTCTCTACTTCCAGGAGAACATCTACGCCACACGCTATCCCGACGGTCCACAACCCACACTCTCGCTGCAGTCGATCCAGCCCTCGCACTCCCCACTGGAGATCTAGCGAGGCCCCCCAGGCTGGGACAGGATTGGAGCCCCTGTGCTGCGTCTGTGGTGATATGTGGGGACACTTTCTCCTCCCTATTCATTTCAGTCACTCGACTGCGTCGAGGGGGGGGACGTCTGAACCACAGCGTGTCCCGACTCGACTGCCGGCGTCCCAGTCCGGGGGTGTTTCTCTTCTTATCCGTTACCATGTAGAGCAACGCCGAGGGCGGGCCCTTTTCGGGCTTGGGCCGCCCTCTCGCCCGCACCTCTGCGGGGCTCGCACGCGCGCTGCGAGCCTGTCGTGTCCCTTGTCAGGAGCAGGAGAGCCCCACCTGTCCCCCTGATCGCCCTTCCAAAATCCTGCTCGTGCAGGTGGGGACCCTGTCCTCGTCCCATCCCTGGCGAGGTACTTCCAGCCTGCTGTGGGAACAGCTGACGCAGTCTCGCCGAGGCTCGCCCCAGCAGGCGTGACCTGCCTCAGCAGTGCCAGGTCGGCCTGACTCGGCGCTCGATTCAGCCTCCGAGGCCCGGCATCTGGCCAGTGGGTGCACTGGACAGACTCGTGGAGGTGGTGGCAAAAAGTCCGACGCGACGCGTCCACCCGACTGCGCGGCTTGACGGCTGTCGTGCTGCGGGCACGACAGCCGTCAAGCTCTTGCCGCCGTACCGGTCGGCTGGAGACGCGCGCGCGCGACTCCCAGGGCAGTCTTTGGCATGGCCTCGCCTGCCTGCGCACCCGTGCGTGCATGTCGCGCGCAAACATGGTCCTGCGCGTTGGCGCTGCCCACCATTGCGCCATTGCGCGCATGTGGACACGACCGTCGGTGACCACAGCAGCGTGTGCGTCTTGTGATGTACATGTATTTTAGCTCTAAAACTCGCCCGGCGAACACCGACTGCGAGAGAGGGATCGCACGCGCGCGGCGCGCCAGCAGCAGCCCGGGGGGAGGGCGCGCTCTCTCTCTGCCTCTGCGCAGAGCTCTGGGCAAGTGCGTGTGAGGCGCGCAGAGCGCGCGTCCGTTGCACGGTCCGACTAGGGCACCAATCGGCGCCGAACGCGCGCGCCAGAGCGGGTTGGGGTCGCTCGGTACATGCCCTGGCGCGTGCCAGGACGGCTGCCGAGGGCCTGCGGCAGGGGGCGAGAACGAGTGGAAACCACCAGAAACCACCGCGAGACCGGGCGGGATCTGCTCTGGGGTGACAGGGGATGGTTGGGTATGCGTGGCTACGGGTACTATTTGGTACTACTGGAGATCTGGGACCCTTCTCGGGCCCTCTCGAGCTCTGGCGCAGCGCTGTGCTGCAGGCTGTGCGAGTGGTGTGACGGCGCGCCTCTCGGTGGTTGGGCGTAGGTCGTGCCGTTGGAGGCCCGGAGCCGCGGCGGCGAGTCGCGCATATTCGTCGCCGGCGCGCGCGCCGGCTGTGAACAAACGTAGTCGAGAGGGGGACGCACGCACGCGCCCCTTGAACGAGGCTCGGCCGTCCCACAGACTTGACGAGGCGAGACTCGCCTCTCGGGTTGACTCGGCCAGACAAAAACCCCGAGAGGCGTGGGAGTACCTCGCCAGTCCCATCCCTCGTTTGGCGTGTCGGTTTTCTTTCTTTCTTTTTGCCGCGACTTGACAAGTGCCTGAGCGCCTGGCCGTTCTCACCTGGCTTCGTGCTCGCACGCCACTGCCGCTTTAGATGTTGGAGAGCCGGCCCAAGGCCGTGCTGGCCTTCCTTAGCATAATCAACCTCGTCAATTACTGCGACCGCGGCGTCATTCCCGGCGCGCCCATCCAGTTTGGCTCGTTTGTCTCCTGCACGCTCGGCGTGGCGGCGTCGCAGCAGTCCGTGTACGTCGGCTTGAGCGTCTCCGCTTTTGTCGTGTGCTATGCGATCGCGTCGCCCATCTGCGGGCAGCTGGTGCTCTCGCAGCCCGCCTTCCGCATCCTCGGCATCGGGCTCTCCATCTGGGTTGCCGCGCTCCTCCTCTCTGGCCTCGCCTACTTTGCGGGCGACGCGCCGGGCGCCTTCCTGCTCTTCCTCGCCGGCCGCGCTCTCTCCGGGGTGGGCGAGGCGATTCGAGCTTGCGGCTGCGAGCAGCGCCTCTTCACACTCTGCGCCGCGTGAACAGGTCGGCGAGGCGGCCTTCCAGTGCATCGTGCCGCCCTACGTGGAGGACTTTGCGCCCGCGGCCTACAAGGGCCTCTGCCTCGCTCTCTTCTACACGGCCATCCCGGTCGGCACTGCGATCGGGTGCGAGCCGGCCCGGCCCTCGCCGCCACTCACAGCCGCCTCCTCTCACCGCCGCCTCCACTCCGCCGCCACTGCCGCCGCCACGCCCCTCGCCCCACGCCCCACGCCCCTCGCACCTCGCACCTCGCACCTCGCACCTCGCGCCTCGCACCTCGCCCCCCCCGCCCCTGCGCAGGTACGAGTTCGGCGCCCTGCTCGCAGAGGGGCCGGGCTGGGGGTGGGCCTTCCTCCTCGAGGCGGCGGCGATGGCGCCCTTCGCAGCGCTCGCCTTTCGCCTCCCCCCCGCCTCGGCCCTCTCCGCGCGGCCGGCCGCCGCCGCCTCGCTGCTGGCCGCCGCGGCGCCGCTGCAGCAGCAGGAGGAGCCGCCGACCCCCTCCCCGCACGAGGCGGTGGCTGCTCTCTCCGCGCGGCCCGACGGCGCGGTCGGCGCCCCCGGCGGCAGCTGCGCCCCCGGCGGCCCGCGCGAGGCCGCGGTGACTCTCTGGGCGCAGCTCTCTCTCCTCCTCTCCTCGCCGTCGTACGTCTGCCTCGTGCTCGGGTACGCCGCCGAGACGGCGACCGTGATCGGCGCCCCGACGTGAGCCGCCCGCCCCCCCCCCCCTCGCCGCGCCCTCACCCTCCCGCCCGAGCGCGTCTGCCTAGGCATCTCGACGTACGGGCCCGTCTTCCTGCTCGGCTTCGGCTCCTTCCACTCGCAGGCGGCCTGCGCCCTCGCCTGCATCGCCAGTACTGCCAGTGCCATTC